GAGGCAATCAATCGAAGGGTTCATAAGCGATCCTGCGGGTTCAAACGTCGCGACTAGTAGGCTGTTTCTGTGCCATCGCCAGATACGTATTGGCCAGAGCAATTCTCGCTTTCTTGCCCCATACGAGCAACATGGCAGGAATAAGCAAAATGACAAAACAAAGTATCGCCACCAAAATGTGCATGTTCCTTAGGCCCATTCCACTGATCCAAGGTGTAAGTGTGAAGAGAACAACCACAGAGAGCACGTTGCGTGAGAAGACGATGCCAACCATGGCATTGCCAATGATCTGCGTCGCAGTTAGCCTGGTTGTTTTACGTGGTAGCTGAGCTGCTGCTGTAATCAAGACAGCCACTTACATCGTGATAACAGTCCATAGCATAAGACAGCGCAACACTTCCCGTAACTCCCAAATTGAAGCCCAAGATGCCGAAACCCACTGCGATCAATGGCCAGGGAGTTCCCTGTGAGGAAAATACGTTAGCCTTTTATTTTCACAGCTCAACGGCTCCGGTTTTTTGTTCTCTCTCTCTCTCTTTGGGCCACTTACATATGCTATGCCCAATCCAACCATAAGAAGACTCGAAGGCATGAGGATAGCCGAGGGCAACGCCAGCCACAGCCGCATTTCTGGCTCGTAAACTCCATGATTCCTCTTAGACAGCCATATAATAGACTTATCGTTCAGATATCCGCCAACAAAAATGCCAGGAAATGTCCCTATAAACGGCGCAAGGCTCATAAGACCAATGCCCGAGGGGGTGAAGTTGTATGGCGGCTCCAGCAGATACGTTGCCTGGACAGACGTAACAATAGCAAACATAGCAAGGGTTACAGCATATGTTAGAGCCGTATAGGCTATAGCTGGAAAAGTGAACAATAGCCTAAAGGGCTGTAATATATCGCCATAGATGGAGCCGTCTGTTTTGGTAAATAGCGCCAGGCGTTTACTTATAGGCTTCATGGGGATTGCGGCATCCAGGACGACGTTTGATTTTGTCCGTTCCACTAGCTTGCCAACATCCTTTTGAGAAGAGGAGGACTGCATCTCCTGTGGCGTGGTCTCTGGCCCGTACTGCCCGGGCTGTCCATCAAGAGTGGCAGGGTTTGGTGGCTGAGCATGTCCCTCTATGGCGGGTAAGTACTTGGACTCCTCGAAGAAGAGGAGGATGAACACCAAGCCTACGCCGAGCAGAATCGTACACCACCACCATATCCATCTCCAACCCTGGCTTTGAACCACATATCCTGCGGCCACAGGGCCGAGGAATGCCCCAGCGGCGACGATAAACAGATAGCAGCCGTTCATGACAGCGTGGTGGTGAATGAAGAAAAGGTCGGCAATAGTAATCTGTACAATGGATTCACTAATAGCGCCCCCAAGCCCGGCAAATAAGTTGCTGACCCAAAGGTCTGCCCTGGTTTGCGTCCGGGCGGCCCAGATACTGGCAGCGACTTGGATTGAGGTGCTGAGAATATAAAACGGGCGCCGTCCATACTTTTGTACAAGAGGAACGAAGATAAAACACCCGACGGCCAAGCCAGAATAGTTGAAGGCTGTAGCAGCATTCAAATCGCCGATGGAGAAGCCTAGCTCTTCTTGATATGCCCCCCAGGCTGTGAATGAGATGTCGAGCAGAACAAAAGTCATGAGGACATAGAAGGACACGATGGTAAAATTGACCGCCTTCCTCCACGTGGACCAATTCAGAGGATCATTCGGATCAGAGGTTGGGATCGGATGCAGAATGACTCCCGTGCCAGACTCGCCCACTGCAGATTATTCTATTAGCGCTGTTGCATCCCACAGGAACACTCGAAGGATACTCAAGAGTGCATACATTCGTTAAGATTGACGGTTCCAGGGGCCCAGAATGGATCGTCCCGGCCGTGACCGGATTGATTCGTTCCATCTTGGAACTGACTCATCTTCGAGATGCTAGCCACGTGGTTCAGTAGTAAATAGACAGGCCAAAGAGATGAATTTGTGGGATGCCGGAGGAGAGAGGGGTCTCTGAAATGACAGAACTAGTAGTTGCTGGTTGTCGCTGCTGGTTGTCGCTTCTCTCCATGTCAGAGGCATCCGATCAACGGCGTGTGAGCTTCAAGATTGCATCGACTGTGTAGTTATATCTGCGTCTGGTGCTCCCTTCCTGGCACTCCACGTTTTGCCCTTGACGACAAAGCTTGGGGTATTTCCACTATCTTTCCCCATCCACGGCTTCCCCTTTTCGGAAGTCGGAAATCTGGGAACCGCACCAATAAACCCAGGTGAAATTAGTTCGTTACATTATCGCCTTTTGGGGGGGAGATATACGCCTTTTGGGGAGTGAGGGGACCCCGGCCCCTGGACGCCAGCCATTATCTTGCGAAAGATTGGTTATCTCTGAACATGGCTGTATCTTGACGGATAGCCTTGTAGCTACCCACCGTTTACGATGCTGTCCAGCATTACCGAAGCGAGTAAAGTGGCGCCCTTGGTATGATGAGTATATTGGATGGCGGTGCGGGGCCAAAGAAGTTATTCGTCGCCGCTCTGCCGTGCCCAGGTTCGCCAAGGTAAGTAACCTGGGGAAGTCCGCAGTGATCTACATGGATCTGTGTTGAAGATTCGTGGTCCTCGGAATGCTTCATGCTCCTCTTCCGGACCCACCCCACCTCTACCGATGGCGACGCCGTTTGAAATGAGGACTCGTGAGGAATATTCGATTTGGGGCCCAGTATCATGATGAGCAACCAAATTGAGCGTAAAATACTCCCTGAGAACAGGGTTGATGTTGTCGAATATGATATGAGACTTCCCAAGGTAAATACAGCGGTGGATTCTGAGATTGAAACAAGGGTCCAGGGCCATGTACGTAATGTCCAACGTTTGACTCAAACACCACCCCAGGCCTTTCCTACACAGCACGCTTGACAAATTCTGCACACGTTCAGCGATACATCTAGTGCAGGCAGATGTTCTTGTTGTAGGGTTGTAAAAATTTGGGAACTCTTGGTGCTTTGCCATGGCAGAGTTGGTCTCGACGGCGACGCAGGCATTGCCGTCTAGGAGCCCTCGATAGAGGAAGAAGGCGCGCTCCTCATGCTGTGATGATATCAACTGCGAGTGACCCTTGAGAATTACGGGACCGCTGTGTACCGGCTGGATGGAAGCAGCGATGCCCTGAACGCCGAGACGCCTGGCGTCATCCTGGCTTGCAAGCTCCAGTTGCTCTATGCGATGTGTGTCATATGGCTCCTTCGCAGCAGCAATGACGGCGATGACACTGGTAATGGCAACCTGCCCGGTTCCATTTACGGCGCAGTGCATTCCAGCGCTGATCGCATTCTTACAATGATGCGTAGCGTTTCAGGGGGGCCAAATTGGCGGGACAGGGCTCTTTTTGCCGTTGTATTTAATGCCGTGGGGGTAGGTCAGGGTGGCAGTGCAGCCGTCGACCATGCCGTCGAACACATTCGTATGCAAAGGCAGGCGATTTCGAAGCATGCCAGCAACGGTGCATGGAAATGACCACCTCCGCACTCTGTTCCAGTGCGTTAATGCCACGGTTGGATGGTATAAACCAATAGGTGTCAATGCGGAATATGATTCTCATCGGCCAGCGGCGCAGCTCAATGGCCTCCCGGGATATCCAGCCGAGATATCAAGAATTTGAAAGCTTCACCAAAGGCCGCTTGTTCTGTCCTATTGTAGCAACATTTGCCATGGACGACCACACGATGGCGTCGACGACGGTCCCTGCCAACAGGCCTGTTGGGTTCCCGATTCCATCCATGGATATGAACTCTGTACACCCTGCTTTCATCTTGAATATAAGCACCATTTTTGAAACCAGCGTGTCGCACCAGATAGATTGTAACTCTTGTGATTCAATGTAAATGGGTCGCTGATTCAAGTCGCCCAGCACACTATCGAGTGCTAAGACGCCCGTGAAGAATTGAAGCCATTCAAAACTTAAAGTCCAGGGCAGGGTGGATGCAGGTTCTTGCTAGAGTCCTCGGCGATTGCATGGCGAATTTATTTTGAAGAGGTGCAGCCCGCCAAGTTGAGATTTTGCGCAGCAACGTCTGTTATGTATCCCTTCGACTGCCTTGAGGCCCAAGGAAAGTTGGAAACCAACCGGAGGGCTGCGAGAAAACTGGTACCTAAAACTTGAATCGATGTTAATTCAGAGGTCCAGAACTTGTAAGATGGAGCTCAGCGGCTGATACCCAAGAACTGCTTTGCAAGCCAATATCCCACGTCAACGGGTTGCGGATGGAGAATTCTGCATTCCGCACAGCAGAACCTCATGGATCCAATACTGGATAAGGACATTGACTGCTTGATTCGACAATATATTGGCGGTATCCTCTAGCAGTGGCCAATAAGTGCTACAGGTGAACCGGGAAGTTACCAGGACCCTTGTAACCCCGCATCTCTCGGACTCTCCACGCACATGAAATCCATGGTTCGTCGATCATTCTTGCATTTGGGGTTTCAATGTCGGTGGTTGACAACGTCACCTGAAGTAAAGTCGGCATGCTTGTCAGCCATGTATCCGTTAGGCCGATTGGAACATTCAACATGTTGAACCAGAGTGTGGCAGACGGTGTGATGTGCTAGTAGAAGAACTATTGGAACTGGCAAGGCTGGTGGTAACCGGAAAGGCGATTCCAGTTCTTTCCGGGCCAGAAAACTTGTTCTTGCTGAAAAGAGACAAAGCCGCAAGTTGGAACACAGCAATCAATTGCTGTATGCTGCCTTGAGCGTGAGAGACTCCAGAAAATGGCTAGGCTAATGCTGATCCTTGCCGAAATTCCACGAACATCCATCGACTGGTCTGTTTCACCGAGATAGTTGAGCAGGCAGTCTTTCGTCTTGCCAGCCTGTACTCCCATATCATCACATATAAAATGTCTTTGAGCGAACCCTATCGCAGGAATTTGCCTGCTCAACCGCTTGACACCCTCGTGCCCTTTCTTCTTGTCCTATGTCGGAAAAGGCACCTGCGAATATGACTGTCCCTGACGAAAGCCTCTCCATCTACCCCTGGGAAGCCAGGGCGATCAAGAAGCGTCAACAGCGTAACGAGGCTATTCCAGAGGAATGGAGGCTCCGTCAAAATCTCCTGGGTAGCCTCAAAACACCGTTGGAGAGATCCAAAAATAATCTCATGGAGCTCAATTTGGTCCGCCAATCTGGAATTTTGACCGACAAGGAGCTGCAGATTACAGAGTCAAGCGATGTCACTAATATGTTGGAAGCACTCGCATCTGGCCAATTAACTGCGGAAGAGGTGACAGTCTCCTTTTGTAAACGGGCTGCAGTGGCTCATCAGCTTGTAAGTAGGAGCCTCTCAATCGCAGCACGGAGTTATTTCTACCGTTTCGTAGCCAAGGGTTAGTAACACGAGCAGACGAACTGCCTCACCGAGATCTTCTTTGATCGAGCGTTAGAACGAGCTCGGTACCTAGACAGGCAAAAGGGAAAAGGGCAACTGGTTGGCCCCCTCCACGGTCTTCCTATAAGCCTCAAGGATTCGTTCCAGATTGCTGGTGTAGCGTCGACACTGGGCCTTACGGCCTATCTGGACCATAGAGCCGAGTCTAATTCGGCACTTGTTGATATCCTACTTGCCCTCGGAGCAGTGCTGTATTGCAAAACCAATGTACCTCAGACGATGATGGTACGTCGGCTAGCAAAACCCCAAGTCATTTTGGTGTTTCCCCGTCTGATCTGTTGCTTCACAGACTCCAGATTCACACAACTTTGTCTTTGGCAGAACGCTTAATCCTTGGAATACTAGTCTCAGTGCTGGAGGGTCCAGCGGAGGCGAGGGTGCTCTAATTGCCATGCGCGGCGCTCCCATCGGTGTTGGAACTGATATCGCGGGTATGTGACGCTAGACCAACCAACCATTCCCCCGAGGACGATATTCCCTGGGCTCTTCTGAAATGGAATGTCTATAAATAATATGTCTGACGAGGTTCTCATGACAGGGTCCATTAGAGTTCCTGCACTCTGCTGTGGAACGTACGGGTTTCGTCCGACGGCTTCTCGAATTCCATACGGTGGACAGCACGGATGCGCAGACGAAGGGCTGGCGCAAATTCTACCCTGCGCTGGGCCTCTCGCAAATGATATGAAGGCTCTCAGTCTTTTCGTTAAAGCCGTGCTACAGGCAAACCCCGCATCATATGATGCTTCCGCGCTGGATGTCAACTGGAGAGATGTTCAAGGACAATTCGGGCGCAAGTTGCGATTCGGACTGCTTCCTGAAGATCCAACGTATCCTTTGCACCCTCCAGTGCGGAGAACAGTTGCGGAGGCTTCGCGTCTGCTCCAGGCAAGCGGGCACGAAGTGGTCGAGCTACAGTCCCAAGAGTGTCGCATCTCTGAAGCGCTACAGGTAGCCTTTGCCCTGTTTGCGTTGGACGAAACCGCCGATGGAATTGTGAAAGCTGCAGGCGAGCCACCGATTCCCTCCCGCATCAGAATTGGCCAAGAGATGGGTAAAGCTCCACAGGAGTTCGTCTCAGATTTGCGCAACCTTTCAGAGCTCAAGCAGCTATCCGGATTGAACCTTAAAAGACAAGAATTGATTAGTGACTGGTGCAGACTATGGCAAAAGTATGAAATTGATGCAGTCATTGGGCCGGGGGGTCGCACCACGGCGATTGAGCATGACGAGTTCACGCTGCCACCCTACACAGTGCTCATGAATGTTCTGGACGTGAGTTGTCTTTTTTCTGTTGCTGGTGTATTTGTTGTTGCCGACAGCAAACTCATCCGGTCCATGACCTTGCTAACTAGCATCGTGGTACAGTGTCCCGCGTGTATCATCCCATTTGGGCGAGTCACGGCATCAGATGCTGCGGAAAGACTAGGCCTGCAGCCAGGCCAGGTTGTTCCATCCTGTGAGTTTTGTCGTCAACCTTGGGATTTCTTGACTCTGACGGTGTGTGCCAACAAAAGATAACCCTCTGGACCTGGAAGGTATTCCGTGTTGCGTCCAGGTCTTTACCTCGAAAATGACGGACGAGAAGTGCCTGTACATTTCCGAAGTCGTGGACAAGTGTCTGCAAGCGAAGGAGAGCTTTGTCGTTGCAAGAGACGCAGATGAGTGAGCGAGATGGTGCAGGTTGGAGGACTCGAAAGATGCTTTAGGTGTGAAGTTGTAGATTGCAGATTCTGTCGCAAGATATAAGGGGTCCGGTACCAACACACAAAAGTCAATATTGACTTTATGTATGTGGCGTGGCCACGCCCATTTTTCGACTTGTGTCTCCACAAAGTATCGACCAGACTCCGTACCCCATACCTGGACACTTGCCAAGTCAAGTCTCTCATGACGGTCCCACCAACCACCCCTTGTCCATAATTCGGATCTGTAGTTCATTTGACCAGACATTTGGCACCAGACGGCCTCTTCAACGTCTGCTTGTCAAAGGACACTTGAAATATGTAGTAGTACATATGTAAGTACATGCGTGCTTTAGTTGGCGTCGGCCGCCAACACGGGGTCTTCCTCCGCAACACGTTTCACCTCGTGTCTAAGCCTCAACGCCCCAACATCAGCATCCCAAGGTTGGCGCCGTTGCCTTCATTCGCCGTCCTCCAGAAACGTATTCCAGATCGTCCTGTGCTCCAATGTTGGGTGAACCAGACCTCCCTCGATCCTGCGATCGCTGCCACTTCCTCAAGGAGCGCTGCGAGCGACCCGTACCGTCAGAGACATGCCCGTGCCGTCGTTGCAGCCGCCTCCATCTCGACTGTCGAAGCAATCGGCCTCACAAACGAGCTGGTCGCCCACCACGGCCGCATAGTTTAAAGAAGCCGTCTCAGTCTTGGCTTCAGAGCAGGACCTTGGCCAAGACAGAACAAAGGACAAGCAATACAACAACTTCAACGGTCGATTCCGCAACCCGCAGCGGTCTCCGTAGCCTGTGCTCCGCCGGTTCGAGCATTTCCCAGGAGGAACTGTGGCACGTCAACAACCTTCTCACCAGCGATTGCTATCTGGAGGAATTTGTTATAGGCCCCAGCTTCTGTCACAGGCACCGAGACACGCTTGTGTCCCAGTATGACACGTCTCGATCTACAGTAGAAGATGCCTACATAGCCCTGGCCATGATCTGGGGCTTACGCGACCCTTCCACATCGCCCGACTATCCCTCGCTGAATACGTGCTACAAGAGAGCCTCTTCTGCCATTTTGACTCTGCGCTCTCTGGATGTCAGGATAGAGCACCATGTCCAGCCATGCTTAGTCCTTGGCGTCTCGCTGGTAACATTTGCTCTGAAGCTTGGTGGTACGCATGTGCTCCCTCTATGCAGCCATATTCTAAGCCTGGTCAAACCCTACTATGAGGCCGGGAAGCGACTAGTCGATCCCGATCTGCTGATAGTCATCTCTTTGAATGAGATGGCAGAGTGCTTGTTCTGCGCAAGGACGCCAACCCTGCTCGTCGAGCTGCCCCCAGACCAAGCAGAATCGTACGTCAACCGGTACATCGGATTGAGCGCAAACATTTTGCCCTACCTGTTCCATATCTGCAAAATCTCTGCGGAGATGGCGCATGGAGACCCAGTGGATAAAGACAAGACCTTGAGCCACCTTGAGGAAGAGATCAGGAGGTGGCAGCCTTCAATACAAGACAGTCGGATGAGCGAGTTTACGCCCACAGAGGTTTCGCACATGGTCTGCCAGGCCAGTACCATGCAGACTGCCGCGTTGCTCATAATTCACCGGTTGCGTTATCCGTACGGCACCGAGGATTTGGCAGCGTCTGCAATGGCATCCAGCATTCTGTCACAGAATCAGATGACGCAGAAGATTACAGGACGTGCTCCCCGGTGCGTGGATCTACCTCTAATCGTGGCTTGTACAGAAATCCCGGATGAGTTGGAAAGGAAAAGATACCTACGGACTCTGTCACCGATTGCAATATTTTCTCCCCTCTTTCAAAAACGTGTTGAGTCAATGTTGGCGTTGATCTGGGAGGCGAGGACGAGCAGTACTACCCTCTACTGGTGCGACCTGGCAGCTAGCCTGTCGTGATATATCCTCTTTAAAGCCCTGATAGTGGATTTTTTTGAGCCGAGAAAGATCTACATGAGAGCCACCATCACTTTCCATATCACGAGTGTGGTCTTTGTGTGATCAGCCCGGCGGATTCTTTTCCCTAACGAGCCGGCAAGTTGCGAAGCAGTTGTATCAACAGTCCCATGCTGTCACCGCTCCACTTGACGTATACAAAGCTGAAGCGCCTCTTTGGCGAGTCCTACACAGGTCGTCAGATTCTGATCCTCCGTCTCGTCAAGAGATGGTTCGAGAAAAGGATGGCTGTGGGGGGCAGCATTTGCATCGATGCTTGGCGTAGCAAGCAGCTGTCGTAGAATGTGGTATCCGTTGGGATTATTAGAGGAGCGCATCTGTGTCTCTCCTCAAAGCAGCAATCCATCCACGGAATTCATGCCCACAAGAGGTCTTGTACGCACTACACGTAACACGGGCATTCTCTTTTCAGAGTTTGCCCGCTCACTGACACAGACACCCGATGAGGCATGGCGACGAGATCCCGGACAAGTATGTCATGGAGTTCGAACTATAGGCATTTATTCCAACCACAAAATCGATAACAAGGTGGAATTTGCTGCAAAACTGCCTTAGTACATGGCCGTCAGATTTACAGCAGCAATTCTGTTTTCAAGTTCCATTAGAAATTCAGGCTTCGAGTTCAACATCACGAGGGCCACTCGGCAACAACCACAAGTCATGAAACGCTGAAATTCACAACACATTTCTAAATCAATGAGATCTCAGTACTGGCGAGCCGAAAGTTTTGTGGAATCACCTTGTAAGAGAAAAAGTCTGGCAATTGGCAGCTCGTGTAACTGCCAGCCAGTCGTTCACCTGCAACCAGCCGGCAGCCAGTTCCCACTACTCTTCAGCGTTTGTCTTTTTAATGTTTCTGCAGAGAGATTCAACCAGAGCTTCTCACAGAGGCCGGCATTGCATAAACTGCTCAGTGATGAATCACACTGCACAATACTTACTGCTCGCACTTGTCTCATGGAACGTACCGCCCCTTCTGCTCTCGCGCGCCCTCTCCTTGCACCAGTCCGCGTCTCCTCTGCTCAGCCCTTACAAGTTGACGCTTAGGATAATGCAAAACCAACCAGTTAATAGGGGTGCCAAATCTCCATATCCAATGGGATCATACTTCTATGTCTGTGGCGGCGACAAATTTGAAGGATGTTGCTCTACAGATCCATGCTTGCTGCCCGACTGTCCTCGCGGTCCACTAAAACGAGATGACAACGAAAATCTTCCAGTTGAATCATCAACTTCATCGAACAAGGGCTCTTCAAATAGCGGCTCTCCAAAAACCGAGACCCCTGAGCCCGACGAGCCTAAGGAAACAACCAAAGCCTCCCCATCACCGAGCGAAACAAAAACCGACTCCGGAATCACGCACACAATCCCAAATTCGTCTATAGTTACCATCACAAAGCACACAGTCGTCTTTTCTGAAGCACCACCGTCATCCACGACGTCGATCCCGGAAACAAGCAATGGCACGGCACCGGGAACCACCTGCTCTGACTGCAACGAGCCCGGCCAGACGTCGAACTCCGATGAAGACGCCAGTAATGAAGTGGGGGTGACTCCAGGCGCTATTGCCGGAATAGCGGCTGGCGGTGCGATTATTCTGGCTCTTGTGGTGATAATCTGGGTGGTGGCAAGACGGAGGAAACGGGAGCGACAAAGCTCGGGTGTAAGTGATGAGGATACGACTGGAGGCTCGCGAGTCGACGGGTACGAAAAGGTGACACCACACACAACCGGCACGGGGGGAGTTGGCGATCCATTTGCTCCTTTTGGAGGTAAGTTGTATTTTGCATCCCATCAAGAGGGCAGGATAGGCATTTGGCTGACCAGACAGGGCGAACCGATCAACCTCACGGCCCGGATCCTCCACACAGCGAGGCTTTTGAAATGGACGGCACGGGCATTGCCCCCGTCGAATTGCCCGCCACAAGCATCTGGGAGGCTCCAGGTCCTACGGCATCGCCGTTGGATGTTGTGAGCCCCGTCACTCCGGCCAATACTGACCCTAGAGCCACACTCGCCTCGGGCTCCTCCCAGGGCTGCGTGCAATATGTGAATCAGTGGAATCAGTACAGGTCAATGGCCGAAGCTGACGAGCGCGGAGTGTAAAAGCCAGGTGGGGGCCTGTGGGAGAGTTGGTGGTCTGGGCCGTATGGCATTGTTGGTTTACTCGACCGAATACGTATAGCACAGAACGGGACATGCAGGGGAAAGCAAACAATAATAAAGACCAATTTGATACCCCACGAATCTGCAAAGCATTCGTATGGCTTGACTCTACTTGACCCGATCTGACGCCAAATCGGGCTCTGTACCGTGTGTCAAGTTGGATGCTGGCTTACACCGGGAATAACACGAAATTAGCAATGGCCAGGGTTCTGATTAAGAATCCAGCGACTTGTACCAATTCGGTCGGTGCCAGCCAACAGTGGCACAATTTAAGATCGCCACCACACGATTCTATTTGTCAGCCACCAGCTTCAGATGCAACTACTAGTCTGGTAAGGCACTAGTTACTACTCCATCCCGGCTAGAACGCAACCAGACATTACTTCCGTGAAATCTCCAACGGAAAATATATGCTTCAATTGTCAACATGTCGATCCGGCGCCAGTCGTGCGACAGCTGCTTCGCCTCCCGCCGAAAATGTGACCTCACATACCCAATCTGCATTCGCTGTGAGCGCAACAACAAGAGCTGCCAGTACAAGTATCCACCGCAGCTGCCCAAGGAGCGCATCGCCGTCGACGCTACTGCCACAATACCTGCTACTCAATCCACCGGACAAGTGAAGCGGAAATTCAGCCATGTCGATGCTTCATCGCGGCACACGACAGGCCCCGTGGCCCCGACGCCCAGCAGTCCGCGATGGACGGGCCACCTGGGCACGCTCCCGCCGATAGCAGCCTCAAAGTCGTGGAACTGGGTGCTCGACCAGATCCGCAGCTGTCCGCAAAACTTTGCAGAGCGCGCAGAAACAATCTTCATCCACAAGGGCCTCTACACCGACAACAAGCCCCCGCCGCCGCTCCGCGCAGCCTTTGGCATCTGCGCCGGCGCCCTGTCGGCGAACCAGGTCAGCCACCAGACGCTCTTCCGCGTCCTGGACTCCGAGGTCGTCGCCCTCATCAGGTCGTCTCTGGCGGGCTCCCTGCAAGAGGAGCTGCACAAGCTGCAGGCCGTGGTGCTGTATCAAATCATCCGCCTCTTCTACGGCCGGGTTGGCGAGCGCGTGCTCGCCGAACGCCAGGAGTACTTTGTCCGCTCCTACGCCCTCAAGCTGCTGCACTTGTCTGACAGGGAGCTACGCAGTGGCCCTCGCACATGGGCGGCGTGGATCCTCGCCGAAAGCATCCGGCGGACAGTCTACATTGCGTTCAAGCTGTACACGTCGTACGCCATGTCGAGGTACGGCCAGTGCTCGGAGATGCAGGCCATGAACATGCTGCCTATTTCTACCAACTCGCGACTGTGGTACTCGAGTGAAGAGCGTGGGTTTCAGCATCCGGACCGAGACGAGGTCATGACGTACAAGGACTTTGCCGACTTCTATGCAAGGACGCTGAGGAGAGTGCATGAGCCGTTTGAGAGATTAATTATTGTGGGGTGCAAACGACGCATAGAGCAGGTTGATGGGATTGTTTGTCCGCGGAGCAGAGCGGAGGAGGTTGTTTGAAGACGGGAAGTCTGGCTTTTCGTTCTGGTGAGCTGTTTGTGGGATCGGCGTTGGGGAGAGAGCATAATTTCGGCGATGAGTATTTGCATGGGAGCAAACATACAATACATATACATATTTCAGCTAGACTCTGTCATCAGCCGAGCGAGGATTCCATTCTTTATCGTACTTGAGCCGTAGTAGAAACACCGAGGTTGAATTTTCTTGTTTGGTTTTGAATCTTGACACCCACCAATCTCCGGCGGTGCCGACTGATTCGTTTTGAGAACAAGGCAGGTACGTCAGTGCGCTTCAATGTTAAGATACCCAGATTTGCCAGACACCACTCTGCAGTTTGACCAAGTAACATTGAGGTTAATATACTTTAGGCGGCAGCATGCGGGCCAGAGTGGACTGCGGTCAGAAGTGGAGCCTGCGGTCAAAGGTGGATCATTTCAAGTGATGTCCCCACCAGCATCTACCAACTCCAACATGGAAGAGGGTTGGCAGGCAAACGAGGCTCGGGAATACACGTCAGTGGCATCAGAGCAAAGGCTTGGTAAGCTACTGAACAGAAAACGGGTGGGAAATGGACCGTGTATTAGAACTTGGGATCTTTCCCATGTATAACTCAACCTATCGTTCAGACTATTTAATGATCCAACCACTTCTCTACCCTCAAAAAAGTCTCTCCATCAGCAAGCTCCTACTATCATCCAGCACTTGACTCCATTCTATAACGTTTCTCAACCGACCTCTCACCGCATCCCGTCACAACCTACAGAAAACATGGGAGTCGACTTCACTGTATTTAAAGGCTCCAAGACCGGGGAAATCGTCGAAGCCACCGGCCACCGAGACCCAGGTCCCACCGAAGTCATTGTCAAAATCTCACACTGCGGTGTCTGCGGCACCGACGAACACTTTCTCCACGCGGACCAAGGCCTCGGCCATGAGGGAGTTGGAGTCATTACAGAGCTTGGCTCTGCCGTACATGAAGTGTCCAACTTCAAAGTCGGCGATCGCGTGGGCATGGGGTGGTTCCACAAGTTCTGCGGGAACTGCAGACCGTGCCTTACTGGTAAAGCGTCCCCAAGACAACAAAAGTTCGGGGGAAATCGACATGATACTGAATTCTCGCACCACAGGCTTCTCGAATAACTGCGCATCTGCCAAGAGTTTCGGCTCCAACAACCTGGACCAAGGCTGCTTCGGCTCCTTTGTTGCGTGGGACGTTTCCGCCCTGTTCAAGATCCCCGACGCAATCGCCTTTGAGGATGCCGGTCCCTTGATGTGCGGCGGCGCAACCGTCTTCAGTCCCCTGCACACGTCTGGTGCAAAGCCGGGAGACCGAGTTGGTATCATTGGCATCGGCGGTCTCGGCCATTTGGCCATCCAGTTTGCTTCCAAGATGGGCATGGAGGCCGTCGTCTTCTCCAGCTCAGCATCCAAGAAGGAGGAGGCGTTGGAATTCGGCGCCTCGGAGTTTTACACCGCAGCCGATTTGGCCAAGCCGGAGAATATCGAAAGGGTCGACATTCTGCTGATTACTTCCAGCGTGATGCCGGACCTGTCCACGTGAGTACCGCAGTGTCGTCCATGTGCTGCCGCCATCTTCCGACGTTGGGCTAACCAGTGTAGATATTATCCCGTCCTGGCCAAGGGGGCACAAATTTACCCCCTAACTGTCAGCTTTGAGCCTTTGCAAATCACACCCGTAACCTTAATCAGTACTGGTATCCGGATTATCGGATCTGCCGTGGCCAGTGCCGGCACACAGCAGGCCATGTTGGCGTTTGCGGCCAAGAAGGGAATCAAGCCACAGATTGAAAAGTTTCCTCTGACCAAGGACGGCGTTGTCGATGCGATGACGAGGTTGAAAGAGGGCAAGATGCGATATCGGGGCGTGTTGGTGGCGCCGCAGTAATTTTGATGCCCAATTTGGAGATTTTTTTCCCATCTCAATAGCTGGTCATAGAAAGGGTTATTGCGTGAGAACGATTAGCAAAACTGCATCGACTGTAGGGCATGCAATCAGAGAGTTGACTTACCCTGGCCCGAGTGTCTGCTTGTCTATTCCATCACCAACAAACATACATACCATTCCACCACGTGGTGACCAATGTATTCAATTCGTCAAATTTATTGGGTATTCTACATCAACGTACCCATCTCCCAAGTCCCATCTTCTCCTTTGTCTGTTGCGAAAACACAAATCTTGACCCAGCGCCAGAAATGCCAAATGTAACACCCAGATACCTCTCTTTTTTTTTCTCGTTAGCAAAAAATCAACCCAAATACAATCCTGTTCCAAAATCAATCCCGTAGCACCACTCATCCTTGAGCTTTCCCGATCACATCATCGGTTTTGTAGTTTGGAGATTTCATCGAGCAAATCTTGCAGGTCCTCGTCCTTGATCTTGTCGGCGAGCGACGGGATAAGGGTCTTGGCTTCGTCGGCATTTTCGCAGCACAATGATCCTACACGGTGTCAGCAATCACACACCAGGCATGAAGAAGCAGCAACCGCGTACCCAGCTGCGCCCTCTCAAACTTGGCCAGGTCCTTATGTGCGCTCAACAGACGTTCGACAGCTTCCACGTTTTCCTTTTGCGTAAACCGGGCGAAATGATCCAGATAGTTGAGCGTCTGGTTTAGCATCCTGGGTAACCAGTTAGCGCCTCATTCATAGTCCCATCCGGCCTTGGTGTCGTGAAGCGTACTCGGTCTCGTTGACGTTCTTGCGATCATTTCGACGCTTAGCAACCAGCGCGTTCAGAACAAGCGCTGCTTCTGACAGAGTCAAGGTGTCGACGTTTTGGAATTCTCCTAGGTTCAAAGTCGCTGAAGCTTCTTCGTTGCCTGGAGGGGGGGGCTTTGGGCGTGAAGTTCGCTGGTTTGACATTGTCGGTCGTCCTTGGGACGATGAGGTGGTCTCGCGTCGACGACGATTGATTCGTGACGGTTCGCCGACAGAGGCAGAGGCGCAGGCTCGAGACGTCGGCGCGAGGGACAGTATCGTATGCGACAGGTGGGTTGCGGTCGGAGCTCGTGGGGATGCTGCGCGACGGAGGGAAACAAGACAAAAAAAAAAGAATGGGATGGAGAGCGCTTCTGACACTGGTCAATGAGGCTGGCTGACCACGCGACGATTGGATGATGGGGGTGCGTGCATGTGTGCTTGTGTGGGCGGCTACGGAGTACACATGCAACCAAATGGTCGAGGGGTCCAGGTGTCAATCAATTGACTCCAGCAAGTGCTTGGTCTGCGCAGTGAGAACAGATGGTAATTTGGCGGGGCTGCTGCCTATGTCAGTCCTGACTTTAGCGGTGCTCGTGTGGCTGCTGGTTGCCTTTGCAGCGACCTCGGGACTCAAACTTCACTTGACCGGACATGACACGTCAACGCCACAGTCGACATGGAGCTGCTCACTCATCATCTGGGGCCCAAGCGACGCACACTCACTTGCACATAGGTGACACTCAACCCCATGAGTGACGCGTGATGCAAAGACAACCGACCTTTACTATCATTCAGTCTTTGCTAATCCGGGCGACAATATTCAATCGCGTACGCCGTCACGAGCACTATCCATCGCCGCTTACTCATCAACACCGAGGTTCATGCTTGCGCCTCAGCGGATGAGCCTCACACTGGCCCAGAAACAAGACATTGACAATTTGATGGCTCTCAATAGCCGCCCGACACAATGTACGCCCAGTCTACACTCTCATCTTGGAGCATTTCTGACCGCGTGCTAGGACTGTCTTTGCCCTCATCATCATCAACAAGGCCGGTGGCTTAGTCTATAACAAGACCTTCCACGACAGCGGTCTGCACAAGATTAGCACAAACGATTACCTGGTCCTGGCCGGTACTTTCCACGGGTGCGTCTCCCACCTCCGATGTTTGCCAATGCCCTTGGTCCTCCCCCTTATAAAGAGTCTCCTGAGGGTTTCGCTGCTCACATACACAGTGTCCACGCCATCACCGCCAGACTCAACCCCATTAAGCCCATCACCCCCCATCCCAGCACCAACGGCGTGGCAATCCGCCCAGAGCCCTCTTCGGGCCTGGAGGTGCTGGAAACAGAAAACTTTCGATTGCAGTGCTTCAACACCATGACGGGGACCAAGTTCCTCTTATTTACGGATTCCACGCAGGCGAATGTGGATGTTACGATTAGGAGGATATACGACTTGTATTCGGACTATGTTATGAAGAATCCGTTTTATTCCTTGGAGATGCCTATCCGGTGTGATATTTTTGATCGGAAATTACTGTCATATATTAGAGAGATTAATAATCGGTAATAGAGGTCCGTCAGGAAATAATTTGTTCCCGTCCCCTCCATTGCCACGATTGCATAACCCTGCACTGCTACATGTAGGCGTCGCCAAAATCCAGTCCTAAATTCATCTCTAAGACTCTAGTTCTAGTGTACAGCTTCGACGAGAAGCCACTCCGCACAGGTTTGCCTGCGTCGTACCGTATGCGGTGCTCCCTTACGACGTGTCCATCTTGTCACCGCCGTCCTTTTTGTCTCCGCTTCCAGATGGACCAGACTCATCCTCCTCCTTGACACTCTCAAGTGATGCCTTTTTGGCAGCTTCCTCCTCCTCGCGGGCTATCTTTTCTTGCCTGGCCTTCTCCTCCTCCATACTCATTCGCAAAGCAAGGGCAAGTTCGGGTTCCATGGCAGGGTCAAATCCAAATTCAAACTCCTCGTTGCCTCCGCCCATACCGCCGCCGCCGCCGCCGCCAGATCCTGAAGCACCCTCGCCAAGTAATATTGGGGTGGCCACAAGTTGGTCGCTCAGAAGCTTGCTACTAGGTGGAATGACAACGAAGTGCGAACCCTCGCTGCCCTTGACCTCATCGTTGAAAATCTGCAGCTTCTTCTGCGTGCCGTCGTCGTCGAGATCGCCAAACAGGATGAAATCTACCGAAATGTTGCCCTTTTTCATCTTTTTGGCCAACTGTGTCAGCTCCTTATCGCTCTCTTCGATTGGGGAGCAAATAAAGACTATTATTCGCTGTCGCTGGGATCGGTTTTGTCGGTGCTTCAGAGCAAGCTATTAATTGCTTAGCTGTGTAAACGTGCAAATAACGACGATGATTGTATACAAACCGTAGCAACTTGGATGCCAGTCTTGAGATGAGACGAGCCGCCAATCTTCTTCTTTGTCCGATGCAGACCCTCCAATATCTTGCCTTGCTCGGTAGTGAGAGTGACGAGCACTTCGGGACCCTTGCCTCCCATGCTCATCAGGCCAACTGAAGACTCAGGGTTACCCTGAGTAATAGTCTGGAAAAGGACATTGACGGCGTCAACTTGTGAATCGAATCTCGTGGGCTGGTAGTCTCCGTTTCTGCTGCTCTCGCTGTTGTCTACGACAACCATCACCGCCTCGAGAACCATCTTGGTGCTGCACCGGAGCCTGGAGCTAATTCGTATTGTATGGCGACCGTGCAAATGATGTTGAAAAGGAGAGAGGTGTTCAGCTCCTTGGTGGCGAGTATAGAGTCACACGGGTAATGATGAGGAGGAAGTACTAGTAGAAGCAAGGCTACAGGAACAAGCTCCACGAGGTCGTGGCTCATCCTAGAGGCGTAAGGCGGTTCAGCCTGCTGGCAAGTACTGGTACCTCAGGTGTCAGCATGTGGAGCGCTATTTTCAGGTACTTCGACCCCTAGTTCATGAAATGGCGACGTCCTCACCCATGTGCTGACATAATGCAGAGACACACACCCACGTTTGTTTACTTCCACACCACTGACCAGTCACAGCGCGCCATAGCCAAGCAGCAACACCTCACCTCAAGCCAATGATCTCGCAATCTGCACGAAAATACAAACCTCGACATCATTCACCAGCTCTGACGACGACAAAATGGCTCCCGTCAGAAATAAGAAGAGGGTATCCGACCAATCCACCGCCTCAAGGAGGCACGGCGCAGCTACAGACACCAAGGTGCCCATCAAAAGCCCATCAACGCCTCACGATAAAAGCCCAATCAAGAAGCGCAGGATGGGAATTAGCGCTCTGCAGAAACAGGCGTTGATTGACAATCTTCAGCTAGAGGGTAATTCTCCCCCAAAATTTGTTGCATGCTTGGCATGTGTACTGAGTTGTCTAGTCACCGAACGCGCCAGACGGCTTCGCGCCCAATACCAGCTTCAAGCACAGGGACTACGATCACGGATTGAAATACGGATAAACAGAATCCCCATGTCTCTGCGAAAGTTGACAATGGGCGACCTGCTTTTGAAATGCTCACAACAGGATCAGGGCCGGGTCGTTTCCAGGCCTCCAGTGCCCGCCAAAGACACACCGCGGTCGAGCCCACAGAGGACGCTGCCAGCTCGCAATCAAGCTGTAGGCCGCGGCTATAGGCGCATGAGGTAACAACACTCTACTTGAGGCCAAAGACACAATACAATAGAATATGCTAATATTTCCTTAGCAATGAGGTCGCAGGAGACAAGGAAAACGACGTTGAAATCGGGGATGGCGCCAAGAGGAGAGCTAGAGCAGAGACGGGGCGTGTTAGGCCAAACCAGATCCTGTCCCCGACTTCATCCAACTCTCGCCTTGCAAATCGAGACCGGCCTGTATCGCCGGCGAAGCCGCAAATCCCCCGACCTGGCTCCCCGTTAAAATCCACCGCCGCCTCACGCGCCGCCGCCACGAGTGTTCTCTCCAGCATGGTGGAAAAGGCCAAGGCTACGCGTACTAGAGGGACCAGGAAGGTCACTACGACTTCAGAAGCAAGCTCGGCGTCAACAACTGCTACAAAGACACGACGCCCTGCGACCGCTACAGCCTCAAGAGCACCTGTTTCTCGGCCGGTAACTCGAACTGGTCGTCGTCCTAGTGAGACGAGCGACACCAGTGAGGCAAGTGCCGGAACTGTAGTCAGAAAACCGCCCACGTCCAAGAAGGCAGCACCAGCAGTCACGCGTACCACTGTCATGGGAACTATTCGAAAGGGGGTTACCGGTGCTACGACGAAGAGAGCAGCGGCAAAAGCAGCGGCACCCTCAGCCACAACAGCAGCGAGTGGTAGGGTGTTGCGCAAGCGAGGATAGGTTCGCCGGTATGAGAATTAACGAAAATCAGTTTCTTGTCCTCTTTTTTTTTTTCTGGAGCTTTGACACGGGCGTTAACACTTGGCGTAAATTGGGATTGGATACGGGTTCAATTTGAGACATTGCACCGGCGTTATTTGGAGGCATGTAATGCAAAGGCCAGGGTTTATAGTCAATCAGACCATGCGAAATGTTACTTGATAAATTTATGTCGTTGCCTTTTTCTTCTTCTTGTCATCTACAAGCTCGATGTTGTCCGCGGGTATCTCCTTGTACTTCTCCAAAATGAACTCCTCCAACTCGTCGCTAACATCGCCCTGCACTACGATTTCCTCGCCCCCACTAGGCAGCTTGGTCACTGAGGAGCCAGTGGCGAACTTTTTGCCGAGATCTTTGGCCACCTGATATTATTAGCACCGACCACGTCAAGACACCTTTGGAGAGCACACCTTTTTCAGTTCCAGACCAAACGCTTCCAGTCCAATGACCGCCGTGACAAACTTCTTCTTATTCCGCTCAATGCGCTTGATGGTAATCACGCTGTTGGCTATCTTATCGGCCTGCTTCGCCTCGGCGGCCTCGGCCTTGGCAGTCTTCTTCTGTGCGTCTTTGGCCGCTCTCTTTTGCGCTTCGACGGATAAGGATGCGGTTGCAGCTTCTAACGCCTCTGTCCAAAAATACTCGTCAGGCAGTTGGTCGCCACTGGGGGAAAGATTGCATACTGACCGGCTGACCAGATTCTGTCATACAACTCCTTGTTGTTCGTTTCCAGCCATTCCTGGCACTTTTTCACGGTTCCTCCATATTCACAGTACTATTTTGGATAATGTCAGAACGCACCAGTCGTAGTTGGGTGTTTCTATTATCGGAGTATCAAGGCACGGTAAATGGGGTTGGACGGTCACACACCTCTGGTGGCAGTGTACAAACTGATGACGTCTGGTCAGTAGGGAATCATGCATCGACGTTACGACAACATGGTGAGGTGCTTACCACCGCAGTATGTTACATGTCTGGCCTGGGGCTCGGCTGAAGCGTCTGGCTGTTGTTCTACGTCTGCCATGACTGTAGACTTTTTGTGAATTGGAGTTGAAAGCGCTCGAGCTCTTGTGAAATCTCGAGCTCCTGTAGCGCAAATGGCGGGGTAAAATTGCCAGAGGTCGGTCGGCCGTTGGAGGGGCTCGGCAGTAGCTGTCACCAGCTGGCAGTCCACAAGCTTGCTTGCCCTTCCGGGCCTGAGGCACGAATTTCCATCACCAGGTATGCATGCATTCTCCGTACAGCACTCTCCGTTATGGAGCCTGCATGTCAACTGGTGCACCTTTACACAGCATCAGCGGTTGCACTCTTGACCCTGGTTGACCTGTTTTGCTCTGATCATTTGATGTCCTCGACCTTTGCATCGGAGGCTTCTGTCATCGCTCAATTACCAATTACCTACTTAGTAAGTACTCATGCTGTCCACTTTTATGTGCATATGGCCACCACTTCGGCCAAATCTCGTCTCACTTGTATCATGTTCATTCTGTCCATGCACCTTTTTTGGCTGTCAAAATCTCTGGTCGTGAAAGCCTACCACCGTACCGCCCGTCGAGACCATGTTCGGCAGGATGCATCACACTCCAACAATGGATTGATTGGGGGCCGAGAAGCAGTGCCTAAGCGCCGAGGATCAGATGGGCCACCATCTTCACCGTCCCCCCGCAGCCACGAGCCCAATCAGCTCCCAAAGACATCGCCGCTTCGCGCGCGCCTGCATATTGTTTGGCTGGGCAAGCCATCCGATGTCCCCTGCCATCCATAATTAGACAGTCACCCTAGCTTCGTTTATTGGATGTTTAGTTGGGCTAGTGGCTTGATGACAGTCCCGTGTTGGGCCTTGGGATGCCATCGTCACCGTCTTAGTTCCCACAACCACGACAAAATGCTGCCCTCGACGCGCCGATGCGGTCATAGTCACTTTCTCTTTTTGGCTTCCGAAGCCTGCTGCAGCTCATGCTGCATAGCCCCGCCCAGTTCGTCTTTGCTAGCCA